TTTTTTATCCCAGCATTAATGTTGAAGGCAATTGCTTGGCTGAATTCCCTAGATCATAGTCTTTTGCTTTGCATTGGTATTCTGTCTCTCCGTTGAGGGTCTAATATCAATGATCCTGTGAATGTTACTGACTTATCTTTGCTCAGTCATGGATGGGATGATTGGAATCTTTCCTGGTAGTGATACCAGAAAAATGTCACTCTGCCGTGGTGATAGGGTTGACAAGACCCCATCTCTTCCCTCACTTCTAGAATATGAGACCACATATGCCAGTATGAACCCTTCCCTCTCTCTTCCCTCCTGTAAGGTAGGACCCTAATGATGCAGCAGGACTGATTTCAAAGTTAAAATAGATTGCTCAGAGCCTTGTGTAGCCAAGTTCTGAAACTGTTCAAGGATGGAGGTGCCACAGCCTCTCTGGGAATCTGTTCCAGTGCTTAATTACCCTCACTGTGCAGAGTGTTTTCTTTCTATCTAATCAGAAATTCCCTTGCTCTAACTTGTGTCTTTTGCCTATTCTCCTTTTGCTGCATACCTCAAACAGGAGTTTGTCTCTCTCTTCTCTCTACCTGTTGAACACTGGATCAAGTGCAAATAGATCTTCCTTTGCTTTCTCTTCTTTGGGCCAAACACCTGCAAGTCTTGTGCTGATGTCTCAGAACTGGACATAGCATTCCAGGTGTTGTCTCCATGTGAGGGGGATATTCAGTTTCCTTGACCTGTGTGTATTTATCTAAATCTAAATCTAAATCTAAATCTAAATATATATATGTAGATGTAGATTTAGATATGGATATAGATATTTGTTGGGTTTATATGTTTGTGTTCCCATTTTATAGAAATATGATTAGATTGAGGTGATTATTCACCTCTACTCTCTGTATATATCGTTATAAATATATGAAATACATATATTACATTTTATATTGATTATATTGACTTATACGTGTAGATGTGCATAGATGCATTCACACACACACATATATCAAAACAGGTATTCGAAACGAATTTGACATCCTGGATGTAGCCTGAGTAGGTAGAGATTAGAGGGCAGAGTGTAACTGAGCCTGCTGCAGATGCCTGGCTAATGGCCATATGTGTTTATCCAGCACATACAGACAAACACACATGGAGCAAGTAACGATAATACTTTTCAAAGTTCCTGAAGGGTAAGAACTTACCTGAAAGAGTTGCAGGTGTGTTACGTAGCGGATTTGTTGCTTTGATTAGAAGCATTGTTTTCCTGTGTTAAGTTTGATTAAAATATTTTTATTTGCTTTTGTTCTTTGAGTATTTTCAAGTTATAATAGATGCTGCATTTTTTACTTCTAGTTTTCAAGAGCTGAATGAATCACAATGAGCCACTATTAGTGTTTGCAAATACATCTGTTTTTTATGCAGATCCTGATTACTACAACAAAGAAATATTTCTAAGAGTAATGTTTGATTCATGCTTGTTAAACAGTTTATAATGTGCTGAATCAGTGACTGAGAGAAGACCAATCCCTGTAGAAAATGCCAAATTTAGTCTAATGTGTGCAAATAATGGATTTGCATCAAGACTTGCTCTAGGTTCAGGCTTTAGTTCCTAAAAATGAATCTCTGCGCTGTTGTTCTTACATAAGTTTACATTTTAATGTCTGGATTCAAATTTTTCTACTTATCCAGCT